TTTGCTGTAGCGCTACCCATCTCTTATGCACGCTCCGTTCCAAGTCCTGGTCTGTTTGTTCACCGCTCGGCTGGCTTGGTCCTACCAACCTCCCTCTGTGACCTGGACGAATCTACTCTCCGAGAAGGACGCCACTACTTACGTCAACTCGATGCCGATCGGCAACGGTGGTTTAGCCGCCAATGTCTTTGTAGACAACAAAGACGAACGGGAGCCGGTCGTGGGAATACTCATATCCGACCAGCGTGCTTGGAATGAAGCCGGAGAGATCATGAAAGTCGGCGAGGTCACATATCACTTCTCGCCTAGCCCTTGGACTTCGGGATCCAAAACCACCTTGAAACAGGTGGGTACTTTTCCGTAAAGAGCAATTTGGCGCTGTCCTTTGCAAGTTCCCATCACTGCCCGTAGGTGCTCAACTCCAGCCTTGGGACTGTATCGATTGATATTGGAAACCCTCCCACACGCATCGTTGCCTACGTCGATGCTCACGACGATGTATTGGCAGTTAATATCACCTCACCGACAAAGGTTACCATAACAGCCACTGCGAAACTTCTCCGACCATCACCGTCTCGACTGAAGCCACAATCCGACTGCCTCATGTATGATATCAGCGCGGATTTCTATGTACCGCGCCCTAATGGTATCACCGGTGGATGGGGGCACGCCAACAATGGCTCCAACTTTGTAGCGAGTACTCTCAAGCAGTTGAACCTCCAGTCAGCATCCAGCAGTTTTGGAGATAGATTGCGTGATAGGTCTACTGTTGCTATTTGGAAGTTCTCTGAATCTATGAGTGGGATATCGGATGGGGTCGTCCGCACAGAGGCGAAGGTTAACACCTTGTCGAATCTTATCTCGGTAGTCACGAGGGAAGAAGGAGCTGTATCGGAAGCGATCGCTGATGCGGAAGCACTTGCTGATAAATATAAGCCGCTACCGGCGTGGAAAGCTCATGTGTGTTGGTGGAAAGACTTCTGGGAAACGAGTTGGATAAGCATCTCTGGGAAAAACGCGACGCTTGTGAGTGAGAAATATGCACTCCAGCGTTATCTCCAGGGTCTTCAAGCACGGCAGCCGTTCCCCATCAAGTTTAACGGAATGCTGTTCACCGCACAGCGCAAAGATCCTGACTATCGTGGGTGGGGAGGTCTAAACTGGTGGCAAAATTTGCGTGCACCCTACTACAATATGCTGCCAGCAGGAGATTTTGCGATGCAACAAACGTTGTCTGAGGCTTATAAGCGAACTTTGAACGGAACCATGGCGAAGACTGCTCTATACTATCCCCACATGAAGGGTCCGACTGCCTTCTGGGATGAATACGTACATCCGCTTATCGGTACCACACATCCAGATAGTTACGGTTGTGGACGAGCGGGCAAACTAGATCCGCCTATCTGGTACGCCGTGGACCGTTATAATCACTTTAATCTTCAAGGAGCTCTCGATCTCTGTCTTCTCATGTTGGATCATTACGCTTGGACGAAGGACAGCGATGTCCTAAAGGCCAACTTGCCTCTGATGGACGCCGTCATTAATTTTTTCTCTCAATGGAGAACCGCGAAGGATGTCGAGGGCAGGATGGTGCTATTCCCAGCACAAGCTATCGAGACCTGGCAGTGTCCTGGATATAAAGACATGGTAGCTGGTAAAAACTGTTCTAAGAATGACCAACCGACTATTTCCGGTCTCTGGGCTGTTGTCACACGCCTTGTCAAACTTCCCTATGATCTCACCCGATCAGAACAACGCTTGAGATGGAAGAAGCTACTGTCTATCTTACCCCTCGTGCCCCACACCAAAGCTAAGACTGGGAGTTGGAAGTTGGCGCCATGCGAGGTCTGTAGCCCTAGACCTGCTAATGTCGAAAATGCTGACCTCTATGCTGTTCATCCCTATCGTATCATCACTGCAAAGTCCCCAGATGTAGAGGTGGGGAGAATTACATTCAAAGAGCGTCGCTTTACTTCGGATGTGGGATGGGACCAAAACGTGATGGACGCTGCTCTTCTCGGTCTGGCGAAAACTGCCCAATCTCTGGTGGTGGCTAGGGCAGAGCTCGGTCCCGCCAAGGGATACCGTTTTCCTGTTTTCGCACCACACCTGCAAGACTATCCCCCCTCGGCGGACCATTACGCTGTTATGAACAACGCCATGACGTACATGCTGCTACAACCAATGGATGATAAAGAGGAGGGCATCATGCTATTCCCTGCCTGGCCTTGTGATTGGGACGTTAACTTCAAGCTGTGGGGCCCAGCAAATACGGTTATCGAGGGCTCGCTCGTCGGTGGGAACGTGACAGAGCTTCACATTGAGCCGAAGCATCGATCTAGGGCCGTGATAGTGATGCCGTGCCAATGAAATCAGAATGTTTGTTCAAGGCCGGCTCTCGTAATGCTATCGCTTCTTTGACTCCACTTGTGCTCATCTATGATTGTAGCTCATTTATCGCGTCGCTGCTACCTCCTTTAAAATATATCTATGGGTCATTTTCGGGGATAATAGTAGCGTTTTCTCAGTGGTTAACTACTGGTGAGGATGACTCGTATGATGCGAGTCGTACCCTCTGCGTCTCATCCCCTTAGGAGGATCACAGACCATTTTATTTGTCGCGTCGCATTGACTTGGTATCACGACTTTGGTCGAGTATTTTCTATTGTCTTATTGCGTTCGTCACTCCATCATACGGAATATATTTCGTCGTGGAATGCCTGTTGTCCAACAGCATGCAGCCAGTCAGGAGTAGTTTGGAGTAGTGGAGAGTGGGGCGAAAGCATCGTACGTTGACACAGAACTCGTGAGACTTGAAAGACCAAACGGCAAAGTTCTGTGGAAAAAACTCCCTGAAAGCTGGGGGTCTTCATGTGGAATGCCGAGACGGTCCGTCCTTCTCGAGGGTGCGACGTAGATCGAAGCGATGAGTGAGATGACTGCGATGCTGATCATGACTGCTGTTCGCCGTTGTGGAACATGATTCCGTTATACAAGGCGAGAGTTAACCTCGATCCTCGAATGCCAGACTAACCCTCAGCTGATGTTCGTGAACCTCAGGTTTACAAGAAGTTGATTCAATTCTGCATGAGGCGTCGCAGGTGCTGAACAAACACACCGGGAGCCTCGAGTATCGAACTGAGCTGTCGGCTTTTCCGGGAGGACCGGACTGGTCCTCGCTTTTTCAAGGTTCCAAAACTTCTAGTCAGCTGCCTACTAGAACCAGCGATTCCGGGATGAGGTTGTTCGACTGTGCGTGAGCTCCTTGACGGGACCTATCAGTTCCGTGTCTGGATCCCTAAAAACGTGCCAGTCGTTTCAAGCTTTTCTTCGTCCTGGCTGGCAGTCACTAGCTGTTCTTGGCGCTGATTTAGTAACGTTAGGATGCGCGAGAAATGCTCCAACGCAATCTAAGAATTAATAACGTACGATTGACGCGAGCAGCATAATCATACGTGTTTTAGAGACAGCCAAGCGGGAGCATCACGTCATCAATGGTGTCTAACCACTAGCGTCACGTAATTCAATTACGGTAATTGCGTGTGCTTTGATGGAGCCTGTCTCCGTGAACTCTGTTGTAGGGATAGTAACCTCCGACTAATAGAACTCGATACACGTCAAGTGAGTAGGGATGTCACAACCGATGTGCTTATAGGTACAATGGAGTTTCACCTGTTTTACGCGTAAAACTGTTTTACGCGAAGTGTTTCACGCGAAAAACGCGATATGTTGTATTGAGATAACACTTCGCGTCAAAACGCACGCGTGAAACGCAATATCACGAAAAACTCTAACGCGATAACGCGTCATAACGTGTTTACCGCGTTACGCGAAGTGTTAAACGCGTAAAACACAGCACAACGCGTGGATCACTT